GCTAACTTGACGGAGCCCCTAAAAAGCTCCTAATTCTGATACCAACGAAAAATTGAAGAAAAAAAAACCATGGGGAACTGCTAGCTTCCATAAACCTAGCAGTCCCTTTTTTTTCTCTCAAAAATTAAAGAAGCACCTAATTTTCAATTGGAGGCCCTAATCAGCACCTTGAAAGCACCTAATTATTAGGTATATACAGTCTATTTTTTCCCAAGATAGATTTTGGCATTGTCAACTTTGAAACATAAACAATGCCGCTAATGCCGCTTATTGGTCGCTATTGTAAAACTGATGTCAACCTGCATTTTGCGACCAATCAAGCGTTATTGTTTATGTTTCAAAGTTTTCAATCTCAAAATCTATCTTGTGAAAAAATAAAGTGTAGATAGTTTTTTTTTCTCCATAGGACTGCTTTACCATAGGTTTATAGACCTGAAACAGGTCACCTTCTCTGATCTATTTACATAAGTAAACGTGTCAGATAAGAGAGACTCACGATCAAAGCATCGTGTCGAAAAGAGTTGTGAATTTCTGTATGCGATATTTTTCTGAAAAAATTGAAATTTATCGATGGGCATGAAAGTCAGTGCTTTGATGTGAGCTCCAAAAAATGGAAAATAATACAGCTCCGTAAGTGAAAAAATAAAGTTGATGATGGCCGGCCAAAGACAAAACGTGGCATTTTGAATCTAACAACACTATCGTGTAGGGAAAAGGGTAAAAGTGGCTTTGATGAGGTGCAATTTATTTCGATTAGAAAGCTTGTTTGTTTATTTAAAATAAATACATAATAGAGAGCATTTTAAAATTTGTCATATTATCATTTTTATTTCTCCCCTCGTTGCTCCCATTATTCTTTAAATTGTTTATATTTTTTTTCAGTACCTACCTAAACATTTCTATAATGCAGTGTTCTGATCAAATTTAAGTATATCATTTACATAATTTAATTTATGATGTTTAAAGAATATCTGTTGAACTGTCCACTTATATCCTCAACAACTTTTTGGTGGAAAATTATCTTTTAACTTTTTTCATTTGAAAACTGATGATATATCTATAATTATAATTGGTAAAGGCAAAGCAGATAAGAGTTGTTGTGTAATGTTGAAGAAAAAAAATCATTAAAATCATTCCGTTTCGAATTCACACTTTTCACTGATGTTCTTTCTAATGATATTAATGATCAGATAAATCAGAGTTGGCCTTCTCCTTTGTCTACATTCTAAATCTTTTCCTTGAAGTGCTCCATTCTTCATGTAGAACAGGACAGTGCACTTCGGAGGCATCACAGATCTTATCTTAATCAATACCCAAAAATTTTTTTTTTTTTTTTTTTTTACGGATATGCGCATTCGCAAGGAAATGTCCTATCACGCTCGAGAAGCGGCAAGTGCGCAGAAATGTCGGTGTATGTTGGTCTTGAAACGGTTCAGGTTGTAACCTGCAGGGAAAACCGTCGCAGGGAGTTTATTCCACAGCGATGCTGTTCTCCAGAGATATGAATTCTGATATAATGAGGTTCTTGGTGCCTCTAGTTTGACAGTAAATTCATGGTTACCGTCTGTTTGACGGGTTCGCCTGGTAGGTGCTACTCTCGGTGGAATCATACGTGCCAACTCTTCAGAGCATTTTCCGTGATAGTACCTGTAGAAGAGAGATAAATCGCCCACAGATCTGCGATGTTCGAGACCATCCAAGTTACGAGTAAGTGCGGGGTCATTGATCAACTTGATAGCTCGTTTTTGCACGGTATTCAAAACCATTAAGGTATGTTTGGGTGCTGCACTCCATATATGTGAGCAGTACTCCATAGTTGGTCGAATCTGGGCTTTGTAGAGTGTCAGCAATTGGCTTGGTGTGTACAGATGTCTTGTACGAAATAGCACCCCCAGCTTTTGGGAGGCCCTTTTAGCAATATCTGCCACGTGACTGTGCCAAGACATGTTGGTCTCTGCAGTAACCCCCAAGATGTTCAACTGACTCTGTAATGTGACAGCACTTCCAGATAGCATGATGTTTGGTTCACCGGTGGTGTTCTTTTTTGAAAACAGAGCTGCTTGGGTTTTCTGTGCGTTGAACTGTACAAGGTTTTTGTTACCCCAGTCCTCTATTATCTCCAGGTCGTTATTTATCTGCGATATTTGAGTTAGTCTAAGATGATGGAATTCACGTGCGGAAAGACCTGTGGGTGGTATGAGTGAGGAGACTACATTGCCATCGTCTGCAAAGCAATAAAGTGGATTTACTGTTTTATCTATGAGGTCATTTATGTAAATCAGGAAAAGAGTTGGCGAAAGGATTGCTCCCTGTGGCACACCAGCATTTATTTGGTAAGAGTTGGAGTTCTGGCCATCCAGTGCAACATAAATCGATCTGTCCTTTAGGTAACTTTCAAACCAAGTGCAAAGTTTCGGCGATAATCCCATTGCTTTGAGCTTGTTGAGCAGATTTTCATGCCAAACTTTGTCGAATGCTTTAGATATATCTAAGGCAATTGTTCTTGTTTCACCCCGCAACTCAATCGCTTTTTGCCATAAGTGAGTGACGTATGTAAGTAAATCGCCAGTTGATCTATATTTTCGAAATCCGTATTGCTTATCGTTGATAATTTTGTACTTTTCCAAGTACTTGGTTAGGTGATTATTCAGAACTCTTTCCATTACTTTTGATATCACCGGAAGTAGGGCAATTGGTCTATAGTTGAACGGATCTGTCTTTTTTCCTTTCTTTGGAATGGGTTGTACTGCGGCAGACTTCCATGATGATGGATATACTCCTTGCCTGTAAGACAAATTGAATAATTTTGCGAAAGTTGGGGTGAGTTCGTTGGCGCAATTTTTGAGTACTATTGCGAGAATGCCATCCGGACCCATTGCTTTGTTTGTATCCAGCTTTTTTAGGGATTTTCGTATTTCTCTGTGACAAAAGGGTACCTCTGGCATACTATGGGAAACCCTTTCAAGGAACGGTGGAGTTTTTTCCGTTTGGCACTGTGAGGTTGGAGTTGGAGGAAAACATTTGGGCAAGCATATTGGCTTTTTCCTCTGATGTTGTGGCTAAGTGATTATTTTTATCTGTAAGTGGTGGTATGGATGACTTGGTGAAGTTAGATCCAACAGCTTTTGCAAGAGACCAAAAAGACCTAGAACTACTTGGACAATTCAGCAACCTGTTTTTTATTCTTTGATTGTATGTTTCTTTAGCGGAGTCAATAGTAATTTTGCAACTATTTCTGGCTTCTATAAATTCTGTGTGGTTTTGAGCGGTTTGTTGTCGTTTCCAAAGGTTATATGCTCTGTGTTTTTTCTGTACAGCCGTTTGACACTGGCTGTTGAACCAAGGTTTTGCATTAGCTCTACGTTTAGTTGTATGTGGGATATATGCGTCCATTCCAGATAAGATTACTTGTGTTATTTCATTACAGCAAATAGTGGGATCAGCTGTTTTAAAGCAAACCTCTTGCCATGGAAAATCCAGGTAATACTGTTTTAGGTCATTCCATTTTGCCGATTTATAGTGCCACATTTTACGAGGAAGTGGTTGTAGGCTTGGTGGGATGAGCATTTCGCACTTTGTTATTATAAGTTTATGATCGGACGAACCAAGTGGAGCATCTACTTGAATTGTGTACGAGTCAGGATTGGTGGTTAGGAACAAGTCTAAAAGCGCTGCAAATTCGCCCCTTTCTGAGATACGGGTAGGTTCATCGACAAGCTGCGTTAGACCACAACTTATGGCAAAAGCTTCTGCTTCTCTGCCTTCGTTATCTGTTTTGTTGTGGTGTTTCAGCCAGGGTATATTGTGGACGTTGAAATCGTCTAAAAAGACAATTTCCGCCTGTGGATAGTTTGACTGTATACTATCACAGCTTTCGGATAATGTCGCGAAAAAGTTTTGGTACTCGGTGTTAGATGGCGGTCGGTAGAGGCAGCAGATAAACTTGGTCGATAACTTTGAGGTGAATTTTAGCCATATGATATCAAGGTTCGCTGGTTCTAGCTTCTCCTCTCGATGACATGAAAGGTCATTTTTAATGTACACACAGATACCAAAATTATGTCGAAATCGGTGATGAAGGTCATAGTCGGGATAAAGATAGTTCACAATAGGTGTTGCAGAACTGATTTTAATTTCAGTGAGAACAAGGATGTCAGGTCTTTGTTCTTCAAGATGTTGGTGAACTGAATTCATATTTGTACTTATTCCTCTTATATTGCTAAAATCAATTCTGAGTTGAGTTTTTGATCTTCTCTTTATATCTTTGCATGAAGGACCCCCAGGATCACCCGACGCCCGGAGATCCGAGTGGGTCGGGTATTTTACCTCCGGAATATTTTGATCCTGGAGGCGCCATCATGCTATCTGTTACTCATTGTTGGAACCGGACTGCCAGCGCAGTAGCGGAACGTGGTGATACCACTTAGCGCTACTCAATTCTGGCATGGTGGTATCTCACCGGTCGACGCCCAATGAGTAAAAAGCGTCTACCACCTTACTTTGCTTGCAGAGCCTTAGGTTCACAACTAAATCACTCCACCCCAAATATTGATCCGCTCTTAAACATTTTTTCTACCTCTGAAAATGAAGCACCATGGATTCATGAAGCTGGAGTCCTTTAACAACGTTCCTAAAAGACGTGTCCGAGCGTTCTTCCAGATTTTCATCCCAAATCCAATAAATCGGGGTGGACTCTTTTTCCTGCGATACCTACCCTGTATTTAAAATATCTAAAAGAAATATTTGAAAATTGCTTCTTGGTGAAAACATTTTTGATCATAGGCTTTAACATTTATGAGAACTTTCTTCGTAAGAATAACTTGAGAAATAGTTTTGCGAAATATTTTATACTCACTTAAAAAACAGCTATTCTAAGTACCTATAGCAGTTTTACCTTTCCTGGCTTTTCTGATTTTTTAAAAAGGTTTGGATAAATAATTTTTTCTCTTCCTGCTACCTAAACACTAGAATTAGATAAAACAAAGGCTCTTCTTTTCCAGGTTAATCCAAACGAGCCAAGAGCGATTCCGCAAACGTTACCCCAAAACATTCAAGATTTGAGATCGCACAGGCCTCTAGTGAGATACGAAGAGGAATTTTTGCGGCCGGAAATGTTGAAGTTTGTGAGGAAACCTGAAGACCCGAGGATAATGCCCAATGGCCAAGACTCATCAAGGTAAGAACTTTTGAACTTATATGAGTTATATGGTTCAAGACCAACTATACTTTTTTTGGGATTGCTTTTTGTGCAGGTATACTTATAGAAACAATTCCCATAAGCTAGTTCTTCAATTTTTCATTGATTTATTTTTATTCAACTATGTATTTGCTTGTTTTTTGTTTGTTCAGATTTTGTTATCCTTGTCAGTTAATATTTCTTGTCTAAGTTATTTTTACTCATAGATGTCTTCTGTTTTTGATTCTGTTGTGCTTATTGTTCTAGTTTTTCTCCAAATTATTTCCCAGTATCATTCAGACAGTCTCTTTGCTGTTCCTGTTATAGTTCCTCGCCGTTTTGAAGTGTAAATATATATGTAGGTACCTACTTCTACCTTTTTTTCTGATTTTTTAGGCACATGCAAAGTCTCCTCTTAGATCTTAGAGCGCTAAAAGAACAAAACCAACATCTGGCTGATGACAATCAAGAACTGAGAGATTTATGCTGTTTTCTTGACGATGATCGACAAAAAGGACGAAAACTTGCAAGGGAATGGCAACGTTTTGGTCGATATACTGCCAGTGTAATGCGTCAAGAGGTAAAGCAAAGAATACATCATTTATTTTTTTAGTGTCATTGTAAATATTCATGAAAAAATTCTCAATTCTAGGTCAGTGCCTATCAAAGTAAACTCAGAGAGCTGGACAACAAACAACAAGAACTCATCAAAGATAATTTGGAACTGAAAGAACTATGCTTGTATCTAGACGAGGAGCGAGGCAACGCCATTTGCCCCTCTTGCGGAAGCAGTACTACGACAACAAACCTCAGGGATGACGGGGATGGTTCTAGTAGTAGTACAAATGCTGACGAACCCGCTGTACCGCAACAGTTTAATCCAAATGGACCTAGAAGGACGGCCAGTAGGGAGAGATTGTTGCACGAGAATTTGGCTAGGCAAAGGAGTACATTTAATGGTGAGATAATCTATAATTTGTTCATATTACAGGGACTAATTTTGAAACAAAATTAGATAATTTGCATTTTACAGTCGTTTGTAAGATTATAATAAAATATATAAAAAAAGGTATACCTACACATAATTCATGGGAATTAAAGTTTTCCCACATTAAAAATAACTTTTCCCTTTCGTGATCATAGTAGGTTATTAATTTCACAAACCAAAAATAGACTTTTAGATTCTTGTTCTTCAAAAACTTTTTTGTTAAAAAACAGGAAGAGGAAATTGAAATCCAAAGATCGAAAGGAAGATAAGAACAGAAAGTCCGAAGCCAGAGAGAAAAACAAGAAGATCGGAGATCAACAGAAAAACGATAAGACAAAGCCCAAAAGACAAGAAGAGTGAGACCGGCTTTAGACAAATTTCAACTCGACCAGAATCTCTGAGAAAGAACCAAGAGTCGAGAGAAACCTGAACGTTTATTATATTGACTCAAATATGCAATGGAACAGTAATAACTAAATATCTACTGTTGGGTTTATGTCATATTTGATTCTTTTTTTGCTACAAGGGATTTGACCTATCTTAAGCTCTCCCAATTTCTTACATTGGTTTTCAATTATCTGTCCCATAAATATAATATTTAGGCCCAGTTCATACCACACTGTACTGTAAGTAATCAAAATTTCCCATCTTGTGATGATCCTCTTTGGGTCGTAAATTCAAAAAACCTAAAAATTTAAAAAGCTCCAAAGTCCATAAAACGTGGGTATTTTAATCTTTTATGGTACCCGTGGAATGCCCATTCAAATTTTCAGGTAAAAATCGGCCTTATGGGATCACTTTGCCCTCCATCGCACTAGGGTGCCTTATTTTTTTTTAATAGTAAGTAATAATAGGGGTTGGGCAAATTATGGGATGTTTTTTTTTTGTGAAATAGGTTTACCTACATGGGCTTGGGTAATTATATAGGATTAACCATTCTAAAAAAAATTCTTTTACAATAATTATGTATTTCGATTTCCGGTTACAAACTACAAAGTTCTCAAAACAAATTCTATTAAAAAAATAAATAATATTGCCTTTCCTATTCACACATTCAATCTGTATAAATATTCGAAAGTTTGTGTGTGTGGTTTTGTTTGCTGGACTGGGAGCCCAAGATGAAAGTGAGAAATATCTTTACATTAAGGTCTTTGATCTTTTACAAGGATTCTGGGTCATCTTCATCTCTATACTTTGTTAATTTCTGCAGGGCACGGTCAATGGGTTAGGTGTGATGGTCACTTATCACCATATTTTTAATCCCTGTTGATTTGTTTTTTAATGCAATCAGGTTCTGTTCTTTATTGTTAAGAATACACTAAAAAGTTTACTGAGTTTTATTCAGTCAGAAAATTGTCCACTTTTAAATTAGGAATCGGAAGATATACAATACATAATTAGTTATCCTGAATACTAAATATCTTATCAAGATAATTCACCACAAAATTTCCAAAGTTAAAAATGTAACATATACCTACCTAAAATTTTTTTAAAAAATAACAATTTTTCTCCTTTCTCAGTTTGATTAACTAAGTAGTTAATGGTAGGATCAATAACAAGATTAAAATGTTTAATTACAATTTTTGAGCTTGAAATTACCTTCTCAGTCAAAGTAGAAAGAAAACCTTAATGATAAAATAATGTGAGAAATCGCGAACATCAGACATATAATCATAGCTTTGCGTGAGAACCAAAGAACACAAAAGAACTTTAATTACACACGCAGAGGGCAAAGAGTGAAATCTACGTCTTGAAAAAAAAAAAAAATGTGTTTTTTTTTCAGATCAAATAATGCAATATGTCAGAAACCTAGAACAAAGAGTTAAACAGCTGGAAGAGGACAAAAGATCTTTAACCCACAAAATCAATCAAATTGCAACCACAACCGGAGATCCTAGTTTGGTGGTACCTGCAGATCCTCCTGTGGGAGGGCTTGGCGGTAGACCTGAGGCAGTTGTACGTGCTCTTCAAGTAAGGATTCTTTTTTGTTAATTAATCCTTGAAAGTAATCTTAATTCTAATCAACTTGCTCCAATCAAACATTTACATTTATCTGAGTAAATTTGCAAATTGAATAACTTTCAGTTTCAACAGGTCAAAAGAAAAAAAGTTTGAATTTTTTTCAAATTTAGCCAAAACAAAACTTTTCTATTGCTCTAGATTGATTTTCACTTTAAAAAATAGAGGAAGTCTTATACCAACCCTCAGTTCCCTTTATTAGTAATATTTCTACAAAAGTTTAAAAGTGTTTCCATGAGTAATTTTTGAGAAATCTAGATTTTCAAGATAGTAGCCAGATTAGGAAATTGAAGGACCCTTTCCAGGTATGTAGGTACATGTTTTATACCCGACAACATAGCTTTATAAGACTTCTTTCTGCTTTCTTCCCTGCAAGTTTAAAAGTGTTTATTAGCTAGACAAAATTGTATATTTGTTTCAATGGTTTTGCACTTGAGAAGCTTCGAAATTGAATTTATCAAACAATGAAAAGTTCCCCAAAATGACAGACGGTTTTTGCGTCAGAGCACCTTTAATTTTCATCCCATTCCAATCTAATTAGGCTCTAATTAAAGCCAATTCAATTCTCTATAAGCTATTCATTAAGATTTCAATTTGGTTCCAACAGTTTTGCAGCTGAGAAGCTTCAAAATTGAATTTATCGAACATTGAAAATTTGCCAATAATGACATTGAGACAGTTTTTGCCTCACAGCTCTGTAATTGAGCTCTAATTGGAGCCAGTTGACTTGTTTACAAACCTGTTAATTAATATTTCAATTTGGTTTCAACAGTTTTGCACCCGAGAAGCTTCAAAATTGAAATCATCGAACATTGCCAAAAATTACACTGAAACAGTTTTTGCCTCACAGCTCTGTTAATTTTCATTCGATTTCTACGTAATTGCGCTCAAATTAAAGCCAATGAAATTCTCTACAAACCTATTAATTAAGACTTCAATTTAATTTCAACAGTTTTGCAGCTGAGAAGTTTCAAAATTGAAATTTTCGAACATTGAAAATTTGCCAAAAATGACATTGTAGTCCAGTTACGTTGTGGTTTCACCTACCAATTTCAAGGTAAGAAGCTGAAAATTGGTATACAGCTTCATATTGACGTTCTTATAATTGTCCCAAAAATTACAATAAATGTGGCCAAGGGCTTCTTTAGTTATTGCAGGTCAAAGGTCACAGAAATCGATGATCTCGGTTCCTAACGATATAAACACCTATTACAAAAGTTAGAGATAATAAAATGCCTAAGCACTTTTGTTTGAAACTTTTTTTCATAAAATGAACCATTCCTGAGATAGAGCGCGTAGAGTGGTAAGCCCTATTCTCCAGATTTTGACCAATAAATTAAAGGGACCTAACGGTGAATTTTCGCATACACGTTGTTGTCATGGGTCTAAATAATTGATGAAAGTTTCTTATCAATTCGGTGATTATTTGAGCCGTTACGGAGGGTTAAAGGTCAGGAATACGTTTATCGTTCTCGAAAACGGTCAAATTTTTTAAAAATTTCTTCTTGAAAAAGTTATAGATCATTACATTTGCTCCAAATTTAGTCTTAGGTATATTGGTCTACAACAGTGGTTCCCAAACTTTTTTCTTTTGCGCCCCCTTTCAGAAATCAAGAAGTGGTCGCGCCCCCCCTCTTCCTTCCCCCTTATACAAAAACATTTTTTTTACTTACTGTAACTCGTCTGAACTGGACTTTGGAAGAAGAGGAATGGGCATGACAGTGGCAGCGAGCGTGCGCACGCTCGCAAAAGTATTTTGAAAAAGGCAATAAAATGGGAAGAGGAAATTGAGTAGGTATGCTTCGTTGCAATATAGAAACTCCCCTCTCAAAAATATGAGCTATTCCCCGTCCCAACTTCTCATGAGTAAGATTTGTGAAACAAAAATCCCTATAAGTGATTTGTTAAAACCCAGTTTGTGTGGAAATGTAGCTCAAACGTTAGAAAATAAACAAACCATCTCTAGAAAGTATTATGATAGAAATTCTAAAGATTAGTGCCTTTAAAGCCTAACCATGATGTAACTATATACAGGGTATTCCTAAATATCATGTACAAATACAAATGGAAAGGGGTGATTCTTTGGTTTATTTTATGACTAAAATTTCTAAGAAACATAGGTCCGCAAACGCTTCGTTACCGGTCTACAGGGTGTTGAAATTTTAATGTATTCATATTAAAAATGAGCAAGAATATGGCGGCGAAGGGTGTGTTACTTCTAGATTCCTAATGAAAATTAGCAGGAATATGGCTACGGGACCTCTATTGTCGCCACTGTAGGTAGAAAAGGTTTATTGAGTCACTTTAATTTCATGCAGCTAATTACAGAGATTTGTTTTTTAATTTTTTTCTCGATATTGGTCGGTGATACGAGAAAACTACAAGAGAACAAAAAGATTCTAAATAAGGTAGAAAAATCATTTTATTTCTTAGAATTGACCAGCGGCGCACCGCGAAAAAGTTCAGGGGCAGAAAAGGAGGCATGACCCCTGAAAAAACATCACTCAGTAGATTCTGGCTAACGTTTTGATATGTGCAATCATTCAGCTCCTATTGCACAGCACAACCTGTATTCCAAATTTGAGCTAAATCCCTCAAAAATTGCAGGAGCTATAAGGAAAAAACTAAAAAACTCCTAAAATTTCAACACCCTATAGATACGTAACGAAGTGTTTGCGGACCTATGTTTATTGGAAATTTTAGTCATAAAATAGACCAAAGAATCACCCCCTTTCGTTTGTACATGATATTTAGGAACACCCTGTATAATCATGTTAAGAAGTGGGAACCAGAATTGTTCATCAAACAACATGACTCGCCTCGGTCGCATTTAGTTCAGAACCAATTTAATCACAGACATAACCGTGTTGATTTGAGGCCTTCTCTAAATAAATATATACTATAATATACCCACTTCTTCTGACAGGTCTAACATACCAGATATGACAGAACACGGAAGTGATTGTCCTATTTTTAGAGTTACTCTAGAAAATAAGCATGTAGACTTGATGTACCTAATGTAAAACCAGCTTCAGAGCCTAGGTCTGATCTTAAAATAACTAGATTTGGTAGGGCTGTAAAGCCTTTTGAAAAGTTAAATTTATGAGGGAGAATGTGATGGTAGTAGTATTCTGTGGTAGTAATACAGGTGCCGTTGACAAGAACTGTGACGGTACTTGTCAGTTGACAAGTTTTGTTGTCTAGCTGCCCCTTGAATGTTGCATGGAACTTAATAAAACATCACACACTAATAGGTATTTTATCACAAGAGCTTGGTGGTAGCGCCAAAATAATTCTAAAAGGTTAAGGCAAGGAGTGCTGCGTTGCCAAATTGACGTCAAAGTATATTATTTTGCTTGGGTTAGATTTTCCTAACAGGTGCGGATAATGTTTATTGTTCAACGAGTGACGAAAACAGCAGTTTTTAAAATATGTAGGTTATGTTTTCAAGTTACAGAAAATGATTTTTGACAAGAATTGTTTATTTTTCTATGGTCAGAAAAACTTTTTGCAGATGCTAGTTTTTTTGTGCAATCAAAGATTAGGATTTTGTTGGGATTTTCGACTTTTTTACACAACAATCGTAAACAGGATTGCTCGTCCCGATAAGGCGTACGTTCACCAATTCTTGAGCAGGTAGGGTCGCGGGTGACGTCGCCACAGCTGCTAATAGTGATGACGTCACCCGCAGACCCCGATGGAAGGCTTGCGATTCAGGCTGTGCTCGTTATTTGATTTCTTCGTCGATTTTAAATGTAGAAAAGGTGATTTTAACAAGATTTTAACGTTTAGGAATTCATTTTTTTTGTGTGCTTTAAACTTGTATAATGCATTTTACTCCAAGAGTTGAAGTAGGTACCCATGCAGCTGACATAGCCGTTGACACCTGAAACTAAGATGATCCGTTTTTTTCCTACGAATGTGCGGAAAAAAACTGTTGGCATGCACAAAGAGTAATCTTTCCACACACCCTTGAGAAAAATTGTGTTCCTTAAGCCTAGTACTCATAACAGCGAAATTCGCACTTTTTCGACATTGCTTCGACAATTTGACGTTTGATTCGCGCACAGAACGTCAAATTGTCGAAGGAATGTCAAAAAAGAGCGAATTTCGCTGTTATGAGTACTAGATTCAACACTTGCCAGAAATGGTATTTCCCGCACTTGTTAGAAAAATAACTATTTTTTTCCGAATTTGATATGAAAAAATTTTCCGCCCTTTAGGAGAATAAACGAGTTTCCAGTTCCTATCCAACCAAAAGGCAGTGCTCCAAAATACAAAATTTGTACCTAGTTTCAATTTTATTCAATTTTCAATTTATTCAATCATAAGCAGTATAATCAAATTATGAAAGATTATTATATTCTATGTCCACTCAAAACTCAGAAGGCCGGGATAATATTGATAATAAACAACTGTGGTGGCGTGGCGTGCGCTGATTCCAGTCCAAACATGAAAATGCCAAAAATTGCAACGTCGCATATAAATTGTTTCGGGGCTACCACCAAGCTCTTGTGTATTTTATTGATATCCCCTGACGATATAAAACAGTGCTGTATCTCAAGAAGCGCTTATTGTAGAGCAGTGGTTCCCAAACTGGGGGGCGTGAAGCAACATTAAGGGGCGTAAGTCTTCTAAAAATTAATACAAATTTAAAGCTCTAAAATAAAAAATCAGTTAAAATTTAAAAAAAGATGTCTACAATCCGACAACAGCGCATACCTAAGCCAAAGCAGCTTTGCCATGCGATCATTGCTTTGCCATGCAATCATACTTTTGCCTATTCCCACTCCCTTTTCTGCAAGACCATTGGAGCGTGGATAGTTTGGGCTATTTTAAAATTCCATTATTTTGTGTTTGAAATCAAAACTGTCAAATGGTACATTGTCACAAGTTTCCACGTCTAGTGATCCAAAAACTGAACAAATATTTTTTTCTAATTTTGACATTTA